AGAAGAGGCTTAGGAAAGAATTATTAATCATGTGAAGTCTAATCAAAAACAGGGGCTTGTCATCTAAGAACAGAACCAAGTGCTCTCAATGTATCAATTATATCTCCTTGATTCCGAGATGTATATTTTTTCACATTCAAAACTCTAAACTAGGCTCTCCGCTGAAGGCTGAGTCCACAGGTACAGGCAGGGCGGGTCGCAGTGGGAACTTTCATCCTCCGCATTGGTGAGGCCCAGTGGCCCAGAAAGGGGAAAGTTTGCAAAGCCACAAAAAGAGACAGGGTGTGGCGGTGCATGCCTGTAATCCCAGCTCTTTGGAGGCTGTAAACAGGCAGATCATTACCAATCCGAACTAGTAGTGAGACCCTGAACACCCTGAGATGCTTCCCTAAAATACAAAAAAACCCCAACAAAACACCAAAAACAACAACAACAAACCCTCTAAACTAGAGATAGGTCCTGTAATTAAAGCATTTTATGATTTGAATGGCAGGTTCTTTTCCCTGGGTGGTATATTTTAAAAAATGGAAGGGTCAGGCAGATAGCTCAGCGGACTAAAGCACCTGCTTAGGCAGACACGGGGGCCAGGGGTTCAATCCCGGGCCTGCCATGCCAGCCCTGTCCCTGAGGCGTGCTGAAACAGTGAATGAGATTGGGCATAGTGGTGTGCGCCTGTAATACCAGCACTTGGGTGCTGAAAAACAGGAAGGATCACTACAAGTCCGATCCATGTAGTAAGATCCTGTAGACTCTGCACTAAATACATTTCTTTAAAAATAGATGCATCTTATACTAATAACTTGGGCTTAATGCAAAATGAAGCAGATCTTAGCAGAAAATAAATTTTAAAAATAGATACTGTGTTTGGTTCTGTTCTTTAATTCCTATAGGCCCAAAAAGAAACTGACTTTCCAGCTCACTACCAATGAAAATAAGAAGTAAAACATATTCTAACAAACTTAACATATTTGCCAGCAAAAAGCAAGCCCAGAGAATGTCAGAGCCCAATTTCAACATATAAGATAGTGCTGGCTCTACAGCACACAAAACAATTCACAGAATGAGAAGTAAGACAAGTTTTGACAATGTTCTGGACATACCAGTTCATGATACAATTAAGCAAAATCTGCTTTTCTTACCCAAGCTATCAAGGCAGGCAGCCTGCAACACTACATCTTCACTGCATTACACTAACATACTGCTATTATCTTTGAAGATGGAGTATTCTGATTATGAACATTCCTCTTACATCATATTTAAAAACAAAGAAGCATTGCTCAATTTAGTGATGCTGTACATTTCTATATAAACAAATCAAATGCCAAAGCACAGTTAACAGAACAGAAAGTACTGTGAACCCTTTCATTTTACAGTGAGGAAACTGAGATTTGGAAAGGGCTGGTTTAAGGTATAAAAATCAGTAAGAAAATAGGACTGAAATCAAGTTAACAGTCTGCTTTTCCCCCTAATACATTAGCTACTAAGTGATAAGAAAATCAAGTGCTGAAAAATAGAGAAGTTGACCAAAGAAAATGGCATCAAAGTTGTGTTTGGGTTATAGGGAGCAAAGGGTTTAAAGGTTTAAGTTTAAAACACATTCCCATCACGTATTAGCTGAGTCATCTCGTATAAGTCATTTAAGTTCTCTAAACCTAATTAACTTAAACTTGCAAATCAGGATAATAGCCCTTGCCCTGCCAAACCCCCATGGTCATTATGAGACTCACAGGAGATAATTCATGTGTGAGCATATACAAATTGAGTTACAGTTAATAACTAACGGTATATGAAGAAGGGCAACACAAAGAGAGATATAATCCTAAAAAGAAACTGTGCCATAGCCAGCCAGATAGCTCAGCAGACTAAAGCACCTGCTTAGGCAAGTGCAGGGACCCAGGTTCGATCCCTAGCGTGCCAGGTTGGCCCTACCCCCAGGGTGTGCTGAGACCGGACATGGTGACGCACATCTGCAATCCCAGCACTTGGGAGGCTGAAAACAGGAGGATCACTACAAGTCTGATCTGTGTAGTAAGACCCTGTAGACCCTGTACTAAAAATACAAAAAAATAAATAAATAAATATAAACTGTACTAGCCGGGCATGGTGGCACATGCCTGTAATACCAGCTCTCAGGAGGCTGAGACAGGAAGATAACTAAGCATATATACACACAAGTACATGTAATGTTCACCTATATATATGTACTAATCATTTATCTATGAATGCATAGGTGAACATATATTAAGTTACCTGAATGTATCTATCTATTCATGAATGCTTAAGGTGACTATAATTTAAAACAAGTGCAAGCCTAGAAGATTGCATCTCCATATACATATATGCCACTGCAGAAAACATTCTTCCAAAGAATTCACTGTTAAAGCTTTCCAGAAAGTTTCTGATCTGACATCTCCATGATAAACTCCTTAAACATAATTTCTTGACTAGCAGAAAACTTTCCCTCACCTCAGATCCTCCTTGGAATGATCCGGTCCCGCAATGGAAGAAGGAAAACAGATCCAGCAGCACCAGACAAGAGGAAGGACACACCACTGGGAAGACGCCTGGGCCTCTCCTGGGCACCAGCACGGCAGCCTGAGTGAAGCTGCGCTCTGTCATCCCCACCATCTGTGCCTTTGATACAAGCCAGATACTGGCTGGGGAAAGCATCGTTCAGATTCAGCCGGTTCATTCCGACTCTCACTTTTCCCGACAGTATCACCCTCTGAAGGGGCAGCAGGAGAAAAGAGCACTGGATCAGGAAGCAAGAGACTACTGTGTAACGAAGCCACATTTCAAAGATCTTCTTTGGCTGTTCTGTTTGTTTGCTTGCTCTGAGCCAGGGTCCCACAGTGTAGCTCAGGCTGGCCTTCAATTCAGCAGTCCTCCTGCTTTAGCCTCAGTGCAGGCATGCGCCACACGCCCTGCCTGGTGTGGCTTTCCTCTTCACAAAATAAAGGGCAACTGGTATATACTAAGTACTTCTTGTTCTAACATTCTAAAATGCTACATAAAAGACAAGTTTCCAGAAATATAGGGCTCTCATAAATTATCCAGGAGAAAAAAAAATTCCTCTACTGTGACAGCAAATCGCTGGAGGCAAGCAGTAAATTTGAAAGATGCTGGTCTAAGAATTAGCACACCTGAATTCTAATTCAATCTTTTGTTAAAAACACTCTGGCGTGCACCACCACGCCCGGTTTCAGTGGCTGACATAGACAGGAGGATCACTACAAGTCCGAGTTGCACAGCAAGACAAACAAATGATTTAAAATAAAGGAAAAAAAATTTAATTAAACAACAAAAAACCACTCTGGAGCTAGGCCCAGTGCTATATGCCTGTAATTCCAGCACTCTTAGACAATGAAGTAGAAGAATTGCAAATTTGAGCCCAGCCTTGGCAATGTAGCGAGACCCTGTCTCAATTTTTTTCTTTTAAAGGCTGGGGACATAGCTCAGTGTGTAAAAGGTAGACGAGGTAGAATAGCTTCAGCAGATTTCCTAGCCCTAGACCCCTAAATTAAGTTGGCACTGACCTTAAATACTGGTGGCTTTTTAGGAATGAGAGATCTGTGTTGCTGACTACCCGCTCTCTAATGCAGAGACTGATGCTTACTTTTTCAAATGGTTCAATCTCACTAACACGTAAGCCCTCAGCAGACCCCTAATGAAAGACCAATCTGTAAAACTGGGCCATTTTAATGTTTTTACAGTTTAATAGTTCTCTTGATGAATGTAGTCATGAGAGTTGTTCAGCAGTATCCAAGTTATGGTTTTCCTGATGATCTGCAGTCTTCAATAAGTGTAAGAAGGTGCTGTATGAACGCCTGTCAAGCTAGTAGGCCTGCACTGCTGCAGCCATCATTTTCAGGACTGTTAGTCACCTGGGCATATTTACCTCAAATAACCTTGCCTCCTTGTAGCACGAGGCCCAACTCGCTCACGTTCACCTCAGTCACTGTTCCTTTGGTAATAACACCCAAAGTTGTACACAGTGGTGATGAAGGATTCTTTTTCACACCAAGCACTGGCAGGCAAAAGGTGGCTTTCAGTTCAGGACGTGTTACATGGGCCTTCTTGAAACATAAGCCCATTGGCCTAATGCATCTTTCATATTTAGGTAGTTTTCTTGTAAAGCCATCTCCAACAAAGCAGACTTTAGTAACCATCCTCTTCCATGCCTTTTTTCTTTTTCCAGTTCGAGTAACTTTTAATACTTTCATTTTTCCTTGGGCATGAACTTTGGGCAGAGGAACTTCCCATTTTCCTGCCTTTTCTTTTCGCTTTTGTTTAATGATGTTGCAAAGCACTTTTCGTAAGACTATCCTTCTCTGTCCAGCAAGGAGGGAGGCACTGCTCCTTGTGGAGTCTTTTCATTGTTTAAAGAACATTTATATCACTAGCTTGATATTATCTGACAAAAATTAGCCTCTCAAAGAATCCAAGCTTGATTTAAAAGATACACATTAATATTACTAAGTAATAATGATATTAACAATGATGCTATTTGCATGATGCTCTTTTACAATCCATAAAAACCTTTCACATCAGTGAGCTCATTTATTCTTACTACACCCTTGCAAAACAGAAAATACTATCCCATTTTGAGGCTCAAAGTAAAAAGTGACCATTTAAATCTAACAAGTGTCAGAAGCTAGACCTTCTAGCACAAAGCCTATGTTCTTTCCATATAAAGCAGACTATTTTTAAAATATAGCATGGCAAGTGCAAGGTCCAAGTTTGATCCCCAGTAGCCCGCCCCCACGTCCCCAAATACACACACACACACACTCACACACACACACACACACACACACAGAGTTTCAGAATAAAGACAAATTCAACACAAAAGTTTATCACCTTGGTTGGCAAATCCCAAAATTCTACCTTACTGAGAGTGTCGCCTCTACTCTTTCTTTCCAGCCAGTATGCATGTGGAGGTTACCTACCTAGATTAAAACCTTCTCTTGCCTTGCGTGTCCTGGACACAATTCTCATACCTGTAAAGCTCATGTACTTCTGGCTGTTTGAAGTCTTCTTTGAGTTGTAAAATTCTAAAACATCCAGAACAGCCTGTGGGTTTTTCTTCTGTTCTGACTTAGTGATATTTGATGTCTGAAGCAAGCGGGCCCACTGCTCTGGCATTCCCTATGAGAAAGACAAGCAACGCATTCACGAAGGCAAAGCTACCAGGGATCCTACAATTAGGTATAACTCTGATGTCTGTTGGCAGCTAACGGCAAGCCTGTCATCCTTTTCTATTCCCTCACAGTTTGCACGCGCCTCTTTTACAGTCCTTTTCTACTGTGTGAGTCATTTCTTAAGAGGCTCACTACTTCACCAGAAGAAAGCTCCTTTAGAGCAGCGGTGATGTCTGACTTGTTTCTGTATCATCAGTGCCCCACACCTACCACGCTATCATGGGTCCCCTTAACAGAAGTTTATTTAAGGCATGGAGATTAAAAGGCTCCCTTGGGCACAATTTGGAGATGAGGAAAGTGTGCCCATAGAGGTCTCAATGAAGAAACAACAGGAAGATGAGAAAGGGCTGAATCTGACACCTGTAACTCTAAAAGACCAAAGGTGTCTCTGTGACCCAGAACTTACCGTAAACTCCCCTGTGACAGCATCAAAACCAACATGAATTGTGTGCTCAAAATCTGAAGGAAGAGAAATTTCTGGCCTCTCCTTCTCCTTCTTTTTGTTTGCTGCAAGAGAAATAGAAAAGAGAAAAATTTTAAAAGAGGGACATACTAAGTTTTAGGCTTGCATTGGTATATGTTAAATCATCATTCTAACCAATTGCTATTACTGTGGCTCCTCTCAAAAAGAATCCAGCACACTCTAAAAAACATTAGCAAGTGACCATCTAATTCCACTCCCTGAAGAAAGAGGCCCTAGGAGGGCCACTGACTCACTGAGTCACAGAGCACGTTACGGTAAGATTTGTGCTCTCCATTATAGCCTCGTCCTTCCTGACTGATCTGATTAAGCCTTGTACTCTTGACTACACCCTCATACCTTCTGACTGATTTAACTGGAAACAACTGCTGACTAGAATAATAATTCAATATGAACCAGACCTGTAAACAGGAAGGGCCTGGCCGAACAGAAAAGAGGCGGGAACAGGGAAGACACAGCTACAGCCGCTGTTGGGGTGTTGTGGGGTTCAGGCCTCCCAGCAGGACACTGAGGCAGGAATGTACTACAGAACTAGAGGAGAAGCCTTGGAATCCTAGAGCTACTAGAAGACTCAAGCACTTCCCTTGTGTGCATAGCCCTTCACAGTCCACATGTCAGAAGCTTCTCACAACAAACCCAGAAGCCGGACAGCAGGAACTGTCTCCATTTTATATCTAAGAAGACTGAGGTCAGGAAACTTAAAGACAACCATTAGTGGGAAGAGTGATCCATGCTCAAGGTATGATGCATCTTCTTTTTTTTTTTGGTGGAACTGGGGATTGAACTCAGGCCCTTGTGCTTGCCAGGGAAGCGCTTATTCCACTGACCCATCTCCCCGGCCCCTCAAGGTATGATGAAGATAACAAGTTGCTTTTCTTGGGACAGCGGAGATAGCTAGGCAGTGTCAGTGCTGACCTGGCAAGCACAAAGACTTGAGTTCGATCCCTGGTATCACATGCCGTGCTGACCCTGGAATGCCAGGTGTGCCATTCTGGCCCCAGAACCCGCTGTGGTGGCGGATGCCTGTAAACCTAGCACTTGGGAGGCTGAGACGGGAGAATCACTACAAATCTGAACTGCATGGAAAGACCCTGTATCAAAAAATAAATAAATAAATAAAAATTTTAAAAAGTAAAAAAATAAACAAGTTGTCTTTCTAAGGGAGACAGCACCTGAAAGAAGTCAAGAATGATGAAAGGAAGTTAGCCAGAGATGGGGAAGAGCATTCCAGAAAGAAACAAAAGAAGCAAAAGCCGAGAGAAATATCCAGTACGGTCTTTCACTTTCCCACCTGCCCAGAAAGTCAACCAAATTCCATGTGCTCTGAATTCAAGATTGAGAGGGGCCTGCCCCTTAGCTCAGTTCTTTAAGTGGCTGCTTCAACAAAGCAGTCAGGCTCAGGTTGCTGTGCTTCGATCCCCACAACTCAAGCCAGCCAAACCTGCCCTGAAGGCATTCGGAGCAAAAAAAAAAATACTTCTGAATTCAAGATTGAGAATAGATAATAAAAATAAAAGATAAAGCAAACCCAGGATCCTGCTAATAGCTCCATGTCCATAAACTTTACCTCTTTGTAACTACTGTTACTGCAGCAAATTTTGTATGATGATTAGAAGTATTAGTTCAGAGGAATCTGTTGCAAACTTGCATCTATATAAAAACTTTTATGTAAATCTTCAAAGCAGTCAAAACCTGAAAACAATCCAAATGGCTCTCCACTGAAAGCCATGAGTGGATAAAAACCTAAACTCATCCTTAAAAGGAAACAAAGTCCTCATCTATGCCGCAAAATGCAAAAAATTAGAAACATGCTAAGTGAAGTCAGTCACAAAGGGCCACGTATTGCATAGTTGCACTTATATGAAATGTCCACAGGAGGCAAGTCTAGAGACTTGAGGTTACCAGGGGCTGCGAGAAGGTAGAAATTGAGTGGCTGCTAAAAGGTACACAATTTCTTTTTGGAATGATGAAAATGTACTGTTAGTTCTAATGGTCGCACAATTTATTTTTATTTATTGGTGATGCTGAGGCTTAAACTCAAGTTCCCACATATGCTAGGTAAAACACTGCCGCTGAGCTGCATTCCTAATCCCTGATTGCACAATTCTGCAGATGTACCAGAAAGACTGAATCACATAAACTAATGACTAGATGATATATGAATATCTCAGTTTTTTCAAAAGTAAAACATTTACCATGTTAAGAAAAGGTGGGTAAAAACATATATAATTAATGCAGAAAAAAGCCTTTGCTAAAGTATGGTATCAACTATGACTAAAAAGTTAGTGAACTAGAATTACCAAGGAATTTACTTAATCTAATAAAATCTAATTACGCAAACCTGCAGAGAACAAACACCACACTTCACTGTGAAATGCTGGGAGGTTTTTCCACTGAGAATAAAAACAAGGAAAGAGGACTCTGCATCACTACTCACATTCATCACAGTACTGAAGGAATCAGCCAGTGCAATTAGGCAAGAAAAAAGTAAAACCCAAAGGATTAGAACTATCGCAATCAACACACTATGATTAGTTTCATGAACAAAGAAAAGTCAACTGTGAGAAATTTATGCTTTAGCATAAATAAAGGTTTCAAAATCAGAAAAGAAAGCATGAGAAATAATGTTTGCCTGTATCAAAATTCTATGAGACATCATGCCAAGCATAAATCAAAGATATCACTAGAAATATAATGGGAGATAGTTTAATTCATATAATAAAAAAAGATATGTCTGTTACAATTCCTAAAAACCAGAAAAAAACATAAAAAAGGAAGACTTGAAAAAGACACTTCAGAGAAAGGACATCAAACAGCCAAGTAACACTTGAAAAGCTGTTCAAGGTCATCCAAAAGCTCACTGCCCACACAGAATCACTAAGATTAAAGATGAGTCATACTAAGTGACGAATAAATAGGTGGAATGCTTTGGGAGAGGTGGTAGGCACAGAAGCAACCATCTTTAATTTCTAGTATTATTTACCAAAGTATGAATGTCTATGATCTAGCAATTTCACTGTGTGTACATAAGCAACAGAAATGTATATATATATATAAAAGAAAGAAATGTAAGAACATGGCAGGCATAGTTATGCATGCCTCTAATTTTAGCACTTGGGAGGCTGAGGTAGGAGGACTGCTGTGAATTTGAGGTCATCCTGGGCTACACAGTGAGTTCAAAAAACCTGTAGTACAAAGCAAGACTGTTTCAATAAAGAAACAAGTGTACCTGTACCAAAATACGTGCAAGAACAATCAGAAAATATTCATAACAGTCAATTACCAAAATCAATCCAATGCTTATCAGTTGTACAATGGAAACTACTTCTATAAGAAAATATTTGGATAAATCTTATAAACAATCTGATCAAATGAGGGCAAACAAAAGTATATATATTCTATGATTGTTATAGGTGTCAAAGCCAAAATCAGGCAAACTCATGACGTTTATCTTCGGGAAGAAGATCAACATTGGTGTCTGGAAGAGAAAATGTAAAGAATTTTGCAGAGAGGAGAAAGGTAATATCCTACATGTTTTACCAGGATGGTGGCTATATAGAGTGTGATCAAAAACATGGTGAATGTTTAAATAGTTTTTAAAATGCATTACAATAAAAAATGTATTGCCACTAGTCTCCCCCCCCAATACCCCCCTTCAATTCCATTATTATCACTTTTTTCATTTTATGCACTTGGTACAGGGTCTCACTATGCAGCTCAGACTTGTAGTGATCCTCCTGTTTTCAGCCTCCCCAGTGCTGAGATTACAGGTGTGCGCCACCAAGTCCAGACTTGGTTGCTGGCTCAGGGGTGCGATATGTGGGACTGGGAATCAAACCTCTGGTCCCTGTGCTTGCCAAAGCAGGCCCTTAGTCCACTGAGCTATCTCACCGGCCCTGCTATTTTTTTCCTCTTCCTCCTCCTGTTTTGTTTTGTTTTTTAATGTATTTAGTACAGGGACCTCAGGGTCTCACTACACAGACAGACTCATGGTGATCCTCCTGCTTTTGGCCTCCCAAGTACTGATATTACAAGTGGGCTACCACACCCAGTCTCAATTGCATCTCCGTGAGACCTTCTGCTTAAGCAGGTACTTTGATCCCCTGAGCTATCTGGCTGGCCTATTATCACATCTTAAGCAGTTCTAAAAGTCCTCTTTCATGTCTTTAATTAGATTTTCATGGCTGCCTTGATTTTCTCAATTAATTCAAAACATTCATCATTAGTGGTCATTTTGACTTTAGGGAAAAGCCAGAAGTCTTACACTGCCAGATTTGGTGAATAAGATAGATTAGAACACAGCATAATGTTTTTACAAGACTGCCTTCTTACTGGATGATGCTTGATAGCAGAATTCACTGTATTTTTTTAATCAAATCTCATAAAGACACTCACGAAAGAGGACTTCCAGAAGTGTTTTAGAAAGTGGCAGAACAGGACTCTCCCTGCTGCAAACAAGTATACTGTACCAGATGAGCAGCACTTCCCCACTGCTAGCAAGCAGGCTGCGTGGACAACCCTCCCCTTCCTCTGGTGCAAATAAGCAGATCTGCACCAGACATTTGGCCCCTACCTAAATAAGAGCAAGCAGGTTCATGCCAGACAGGTGGTTCCCCACCTGAAATGAGCAAGGAGACCTCTGGGCCATGTTAGTAAGCAGACCTGCACTGGACACCCCTCAGTGCCATGAACAAGCAGGCCTGCAACAGACTTGCAGCATGCCCTGTCCTGACCCACAGGTGAGACCCTCCACCATTCCAAGATGGCTCTACTTGTGCTGCCCTTGGCATAGGGCAGCAGACATGAGGACAAGCCATGCATCCTGAACCCAGACAAGGACAACACTGAGGAAGGTAAGGGAGCAAGCAGACCCCATGACTGCTGATGTCAGGTCCAACAGTCCACATGAACCCCGCCTCCAGCCTAGATGCTGCAGAGACCACAGGTTGATCACGCTTCCCATCTACAAAAGGGGCCAAGGACATGCCTTGATTTGGATAACCACAATCTGAGGTGAACAGACAGA